GTAAGAGTCTGTGACCGAATAGCTCAGAAGAGAACTGGAAATATCATGCTGCAAACTTAATCCTGTAGGATAAAAAAGCAAACAAAATGGGTAAAATGTTTCAACAGAAAAAAAGACTTGACATCATAAAAATTCAAATCTGCAGACATGTATATATTTAATTGTATACTAAGAATGTAAAAGGGCTTCCACATACAATTGAAATGGCGTAATATTTTAAACCATTTTAATTTAAATCTTAGAAACTAATTCTATTTTTGATGTTGATAAAATACGTTATAATCCTCTTCCACTGTTTTTCTGCCCCTCTCCCCATTGTTTTTCAAAGTTTTAGTTTTGTAACTTACTCCCTCTCTACTTTGGTTAGTTGTAAGTCTTGACTCAAAAATTCAAGTTTTATGTATAAGTAACCTACTAATTGTAGGCTAACTAGCTGAGGAGAGGAAAGGGTTATTCTAGTTATTCCACCGAAAAAACAGTGAGCCTAAACATAGGCGAATAGATTAAAGGAACTGAACAGAAAGCCCAGAAATAGACTAACACATATATGAGCAACTGATGTTTCATCAAAACGTAAAGGCAATGCAATGGGGAAAGAATGTCTTCCGAACAAATCGTGGAACAGCTAGCTACCCATATGCCAAAACAGAACAAAAAACGTGGCGCTCACACCTTCCATCATGTGAAAACTTAACTCTCAATGGATCACAGACCTATATATAAATCCTAAAGCTACAAAACTTCTAAAGAAAACACAGGAGAAAGTTGTTGTGACACTGAACTAAAGATTCCGTTGACATAACACTAAAAAGACGATTCATCGAACAACAGCAATGATAAACAGGACTTTACCAAAATTGAAAACTTCACCCTTCCCACTCATGTGTTGTTATATCTTTCTTGCCTTTTCTATTCCTTAAAATTTCATGGACACCACTCACAGCAGAGCTACCCGTTCCACCACGCCCCAGAACTCAAGCCAGGCTCAGAAATAAGAAAAAGCCCTGAACGCATCACCTGGGTAGCTGGGTAGAGAAAATAATAAATAAATGTTCATGCTGTGTTAGTGGGAGATTGTTGCTGGTGTCTCAAGTTGGAAATTTAAATGTGCTTAAAAATTACATTTTTGGCCAGGAACAGTGGCTCATGCCTGTAATCCTAGCACTTTGGGAGGCCAAGGAGGGAAGATTGCTTGAGGCCAAGAGTTCAAGACCAGCCTGGGCAATAGCAAGACCCTGTCTCTACAAAAAAAA